AAAATCCCCCCAAAAAACTTAGAGAAAGTATAAATTATAGACTTCTCGCAAAATGTCATTAAGGATGAGCGTAGCAATGACACCTTGAGGATAAAAATAAACTATTATATCACTATACTTTCTTGTCCTAAGGAGACAAGTCTATATTTAGATTGTTTGACCTGAGAAGCATGAGATTTTATTGAGAAATTTACTGTTATTTAGAATTTGTCACTAAGGCTTAACTCATGCATTGTCGTACCAGATATTTTTGGCCTTTGCTCCTTATCTTTGGAGTCACCTTTCTGTTGTCCTTAGGAGCTCAGCTTAATGGACTTTGTTACTTACACTACCCCTGTTACCTCTTGCCTCAGGGCCTTTGCACTTGCTGTTCTCAAGTGGGAATGTGTCTCTACCCCCACACTGACACATTTAATTTTTTTCTGTGGCCCTTCCACTCCCAGATTAGTTAGATTTCCTTACTAGATACTGTTGTGGCATTTTGTATCTTTCCTTCTAGCTCTTATAACAGTGATAGTTTTATTTGTTTACATTATTTTAGGATTAATTTGTCTCCCCCCTCCAAAAAGACAACAGCTTTTTTTTTCTGATCAATAAAATGTATGCATAATGTATATTTCATAATATTTGTTGAGTAAACAAATTTCTGAAAACATTAAAATATTTATTGACTGGTTAATGGTGTTAACATTAGAATGATACTTCTGAAAGCCTAGTTTGAATCATGTATTTCCCAGCGAATGATTTAACAGACTTGTTAAAAATAAAGCAAAAATGAAAACCTTGTGGGGTTCTGTTGTATATTGCCTTTGAGTCTAATCTTAAGTTTTTGTTCTGTCAACCATGATTCTCCTTTTGAGATGATTGTCACAGTAACAAATTGACTTATTACACAGCTGTGTGCAGCCACATTTCCCTCATGGGCTGCTTTAACATGGAATATCAGTTTCTAGGGTTTGCTGTAGGTGGAATATTACTTTATTTCTGCTATCTTTAATGTGATTTTTGGAAGATTCTCATTCAGGTAGAACTAGTAAAAAAAATTAAGAGTATATTATTGGGAATTTTTTTAGGGGTTGTATGTCAGTATTGCTTCCTATTTGAATAAGGAAACATATTCTTTCAAATATGCCTATTAAGCTGGTTCTCCATTTTTTGTATTACCTGATACTTTTGTTTGACTCTTCAATGTACCCTAGATATAGTCCTAAAATAACAGAAATATCTATCACATACATGGAGGGAAAGAATGGAAATTCAAGATTTTCAAGTCTGTAACATCTGTGTTCTTTCATTACAAAGTGGAAAGTATCTTTTATGTAGATAAGTTTTATGTATAAAAGACAAAAAGTTTGACTTGTGACCACTTAGGTGATATAAAATATTTGCCTTTTTATTATTTTTTTTGCAAATTTTCTTTAATATTGTTAGAATTTAGAGACTTGAATGGAAAAATGACTGGAAACTAAAACTGATTATGCTTTGAACACTAAAGTTTTACTTTCTTTTGCTGCAACTCGAATTTAAGCTAGAGAAAATTCAAAATGAAATTTGAACATCTAGTTCAAATAAAAATAGAATATATATATTTCTAAAAACTTTAAGTTAAAAGTAAACTATTATCAAACAATGTTGAATGGACACAGAAGATCATAATACTGTATAATTTCTTTTATATAACATTTTAAACAGCCACAGCTAGTTTTTGGTGTTTGAAGCCAGGGAGAGATTTTTACTTTGTGGGCACAGGTGATGGGAACAGAGCATGAAGGGACCCTGAATCATGGTAATGTTCTCCTTTGTGGTGCTGGTTACATGGGTCTGTTCATGTGAAAATTTATCACACTTTGTACTTCTCTGTATGTGTGTGTACTTTAGAGAAAAGTTTGTTTAAAAAGAAAAAGTAAAGTAAAATATAATACTGTTTTCTGAATGGATAATTTTGTTTAAAAAGAAAAAGTGCCAGGCTTG